CTCAACTCCAACTACTAGAGAGCCAGAATAACGAGTCACATGAACTCTTCTCGAATAACAAGGTACTCTTTTTTTTTTTTTTTTTTTTGGTCTTTTTGCTTCTTTTTTTTTTTAAAGTAAGGAACTTAAACTCATTAATCATAAATTCTGTCTGAATTACAGGTTCCAAGCTAAGATTTGAAGGATTAATTGCCTGGATCGACATGAGAGGATGTCGAGTTTCTTGATTTATTTTCTCTTCCTCTTCCCTCAAAATTGTATCTTTGTGGATTGTGCTATTGTTGAATAGCGATTTATTTATGAAATTATTTCAGTGTATTATTGTTTCAATGTCATTTGTTGCAAAGAAGTGAAGAACCAAGTAAATTTTTATCTTTAAGTGGACTTATTTTTCAATCTTTAATCTTGTCTAATTTAGTTTATTGAAATCGTTTGTTGGTCTGTGTTATAAGAGAAACTTTATGGAAAATGTTTTGTACATATTTTGTGAACTTTTTAATATAAATATAAAATTTAAACTAAAGTTGTTGAGTTTTACTGAACACACAGGTAATCGTCTGCCTCGAAGGATGCTATCGTATATTAACCCAAGTAAGATATTCAGGACAGTAAAATTTGAAGATTGTAACTTAAGATGTAGATATCAAACAAGAGAAAAATCGTCAAAATGAGACAAGTAGGACCATGGAATTTTGGACACATTATTGATTGAACCGAACAATCTAGTCCATACAATGTTCACAAATCACAGGTTATCGAGGGCGGAGTTACAAGTCAGAAAAAAGTAGGTAAAAATTTCAGGGGTGCCTTACTTGTCGTCCTATTTACCTTGTACCCAACAACAATAATAACGTGTAATTCCACTAGTGGAGTCTGCCTGTCTGGGGAGGGTAGAATGTACGCAAACCTTACCTCTACCCAAAGAAGATATAAATGATATTTACATGATCTATTTAACTTGTATCCACTTTTAAAAAAATATTTAACTAGTACTCAAAATATATATAATTTCAGGCCTTTTCTTCCTCCTTTCTTCTTCTTCTTCTTCTTCTTAGTTGCTGCAAAAAAATTATAATTATATTCATTTTTTTATTTGTATTAGTACATGCTGATTTTGTAGGATTTTTTTTGACGGACTCCGGTTGGCCTGAAACTTTGTAGGTCCATAGAAAATGGCTTAGTGACTAATACTTATCGGTTCGTCATGACTTTCGAGTTTATTTTTTGGTGTTTTGGATTTATTCAAAACAAATTGATGATTATACCTAATTTTTTGTGTGTATTAGTAAATGCTAATTCTGTAAAAAAAAAATTGACGGATTCCGATTGGCCTGAAATTTTGTAGGTCCATAGAAAAAGGCTTAGTGAATAACACTCATCGCTTCACCATGACTAACATTGCATTTTGGCGTTTCAGGTTCATTTAATGACGCTTTGGGGTCATGCAACACCAAGTTGTAATTATATCCACTTTTTTATATGTATTAGTACATGTTAATTTTGTAGAATTTTTTTGTCGGACTCTAATTGGACTGAATTTTTCTAGGTCCATAGGAAATGGCCTAGCGAGCAATACTCCTTGCTTCACCATGATTTTCAGGGTCATGGAATACGAATTTATGATTATCCACTTTTTCATGTATATTAGTACATGCTGATTTTGTAGAATTTTTTTGACGGATTTCGATTAGCCTGGAATTTTGTAGGTCCATAGAAATCGGCCTAGTGACAAATACTCGCCGCTTTTCCATGACTAACATCTATGTTTGGCGTTTTGGGTTTATTTAATGATAATTCGGGATCATGCAACACGAATTTGTGATTATATCCAATTTTTAGTGTATATTAGTACATGCTAACTTAGTAGAAATTTTTTGACGGACTCTGATTGACTTAACATTTAGTAGGTCTATAGAAAACAACCTAGTGACCAATACTCAATGCTTCACCATGACTTTCGAGTTCATTTATGGAGTTTCGGGGTCATGCAACACGAATTTATGATTATATTCGTTTTGTTTTGTATATTGTTGATACCCAATTTTGTCCTCATATTTTATAAATATCATGTATATTTTCAAAATATCCTTTTTTCATCATCACAAATTTACAAGAGCCATATAAGTATTTTCTGTAATATTTTCATAATGTTAAGGCTTTAAAATTAATTTTATTGCATTTAAATTGTTCAAATATTTATTAATTATCCTTTTAAAATATTTTGTGATGACTTAATCATCCAAACTTATTATTTACATCCACATACATGTTTATAATATTTTTACTTCATTTCATATAATTATATCTGCATTTTTGAGCTATTTACATAATTTTGAAATAATAGCCTATGTTCTACGCATAATTATATTTATTATATTATTCATGAAAAAATAGTATTTTTATATTTTTATAATGTTAAGCTATTATTTTAAATCATTTTACTGCATAAGTAATATTGTATTATTTATAAATTATTTTTATAAATTATTTTAAATAATTTTCGCATATTTTAGTTCATACCTCAATCCTAAGCCAATTTTCGGACCAAAAGATGGCCTAAACCGTAGCCCAATCTCCCCTGGCCCAAACCAAATGACCCTTTTATTCCAACCCGGCCGGAACCCGTTTTCTCGACCCGCCCCGTTCATCTCTTAAATCCTGGCCGTTGATCTCTCAAGATCAACGACCCTAGCTCACCCAAGCCCTTTAAATTAACCAAACCCGGAAACCCTACCTCATTTCCTACCTAACAACCGCCCCTAAACCCTCTCAAATGTTCTCCCTTCTCTGAAAGAAACCCTAGCAGCCGCCTTCCCCAGTCTTCACCAAATCCGATCAAGCCATGGATCTCCTACATGATTCACTTACCTTTTATGGATTATATCGTTGTTTCTTACAAGACTATGATATTACATAGTACTGGCCCCATTTTTGGCAAGTACCAATCACTCAAATCAAGTGCCATCGCCTTCGATTTTCTAGATTTAGACGATATTTTGTCCATATATACTCACTACTAGGCCATATGGGTCCGATTCAGTGAGATCTTTTGCTATTTTTTTGTTCTCCATCTTGAACTAGGGTTTACTTGATTTCTCCTAAATTGATTCTGAATCGATTTCGCATGCTATTCTTTCCTTTTTCTTTGTTTAATTGATTATTTTCCCTTGTTTGTGTGTTTAATTTTGCTACTATATAAACCCATCCCCCAACTCTCCTAGGATAGACCTTAACCACTGCTATTACTCTCTTACTCTCACTCGTTCTACTATTCTAAATTTTGAGACCTTGGCCGACTTAAAGCCAAGGCCACCAGAATTCAATTGTTTCTCTTTTCTCAGTGCAGGCACTGCCCGGGGTTCACTTCAAACCCTTGGGAACTCTGACGCACTGGGATTTCGGGAGTCATGCTGTTCTTTCTCTACTACAGCTGACTGAACTACTCTTGGCATTTGATTTTTCCTTTACTTGCTCGTTAATTTGTGACTAGTGAGTACCTTGACTCTTGCAATTCTACCATCTTTTACTTGTGTTCATGCTCTGTATATCCATGTTGTTCGAATTTTTTTTTGTGAACCAATATGATTTCGGTGTTGTGTTGTCTTTGTTTGCAATCTTATCCACTCTTGAAGTTAGTCTGCAGTCTTGTATTTTCTAGCACCCAAACCTGCCTAAATCCAAAATTTTTATATCTGCTCATTGTGTGTGACTTCTGATCATCTTAAACCTGCTTAGTCTACTATGTTTATGTATACATGAGTTTCCTATATTTATTGCTTGCCCATCTTCATGCCTTGCTAAAACTCCCAGGAAACTAATTCATGCCCAGAACTTGTTCGAATGTACTTCTTCCTTCTAAGTCTTTCATATACAACCTGCTACTTTCTTGAAATCAATCTGTGATCATGTGAATTCCATATGCACAGAGCTCTCTGGATTTCCCCACTAATCCCCCGCATGGCGCGTCGCCCCATGCAGCGCGCCTGTACAATATTTACAGAGTTATTTTCCTATTTCGGTTAGGAGAAGGTGATTTCATCTGGGTCCGACCCTACTTGGTATAAATACATGGAAAAATATTATTTCCTGGACTTTTGACACATATTCAACCTAAGGAGGGTAAGGAGGAGTTGGAAGAACACGAGCACAAGGATTTCATCATTCCTTCCTCACTCAAGACACGAGTTTGGATTGAATTTATGTTTTCTATTACTTTAACTATATTTGTGATGAATTGCTCAATATCTATGGAGTAGTTCTCTTTAGGGTTTGATGGATTTGGTGTGTTGATGATTGTTTGTGGATTATAACTCTAGTTTTATGTATTGAAGCATTTTTGGATAATTTAATTATTGCATATATACTCACTTGTTCATGTAATCGAGAGAGGTATAACTTGTGATAACTTTGCATTATATTGTTGGTTGAGTTCATTAATTCTTTTTAGTAATCGAAACAGGCTAGTTGAATCATTGACTAAACCTAGTTAGGAAAATAATCGAAAGAGGTTTTACTAAAGACCAATCCACTACGCATTCTTGCATATCTTCATGTGCTTAGATTGGTTCATTTTGTGAGGTTAAAACTTAATCGAGAGAGAAGTTTTTGCTGAACGTTTGAACTAATAATTGAGTGAATTCGAGAGACTCACTTGAACATTAGAAGTGAATTACCTAGAGTTAGATCCCAAATAATTATCTTGCACCTATCCTATCAACCCCTATTTTATCCCATTGATAACTTCCTTGCTTATATTTGTTTCGATTGTCATTAGTCAATAGCTTTAGATTCTTAGTTAATTTTAGTTAAAAATCATATAAACCTCAATTATTGATTCTCTTGGATAGAGATCAAGCTAGAAACTACGAGAATATTGTTTAAATCCAATCCCTGTAGATACGATATTATACTATACTATATATTAATAGCGAGCATAATTTAAGTGTGTGTTTCGAGCTCGTAAAATTTTGGCGTTGTTGCCGGGGATTGACAATCAATAGTGTTTGAAATAGTTTGTACTTCTAATTCAGGAATTTTTCTTTTTCTCTTTTTACGTTTGGTATTCTTTGACTGTGCGCAAGTGACATGTTTAGAGTGGTGCATGACTCGAGCTTCTGCTAAAGAAGTGCTACCATACGAGCCAGAGATAGAAAAACAACTGTGACAGTTGAGGAAGGAGAGAAATCTCACTGAGACATCAGAAAAGGTTGGGCAATCCTCAACCAAAGAGACTATGGTTGGAAATGGTGATGATAATGTAGATTTGGCTGCAAGAGAAGCATCCCAACGAAGAGAATAAGCTGCACGGGATGCTGAGGAAGCAGCTATTAGAGATGCACAGATTATCTATGAAGAAGAGAGGGGTCGGAGAATTGCTCAAAATC